CTGGTGGCTTCCTTTCTCACTTTCCCTCTCTCTCTTTCCTCCTCTGTGTCTCTCTCTGGTCAAATTAAAATAAATGAGTGAATAAATAAAATTAAATAAATAATTATTTTAAAAAGAAAGAAAGCAACCTACCAGGTCCGGGACTCGAGCCACAGTTGACCATGTGGGAATCCAGCACTTTAACCACCATGTCACCTGCCAGTCCTGCAATTTTGTTTTGTTTTGTCTGTTTTTTAAGAATTACTTATTTGGGGCCAGCATATGGTGTGTGGTTACATCGCTGGACTCCCATGTAGTTGATTGTGGTTTGAGTTCCAGACCCAACAGGCATGTGTGCATGTGTGCCCAAAATCCCAATAGGAGAATGGAGGAGAAGATAACTGTGGTGTGACCATCCCCTCTGGGGGTTGATTTTTTTCTGTTTGTCTGTTGACTGGCAAGTACATGAACGCTATAGCAAAAATCTCTCTTTTTAAAAAAATGTATTTAAAGGCCAGCAGGTGACATAGTGATTATGGCGCTGGACTCCCACATGGCTGACTGTGGTTTGAGTCCCAGACCTGGTGGCTTGAAAAGTCACACTGGGCATGTGTGTATGCCTGCTCAAAATCCCAGGAGAAAAATGAAGAAGGGATTGCGGCATGGCCTTCCCCTCCTATGGGGTGACTTCTCACTTTCCCTCTTACTGTCTCTGTCTCTCTGGTGAGTCACATATCCTATGGAAAAAACCTTTAAAAGAAATTTGTTTATTAAATTTTTTGTTTTTTGAGGGGTAGGTTTTGCAAAAGGGTGTGTGTGCTCACCAGGAAGACAGAGAGATAGCAAGAAAGCACCCTCAAGTCCTAGACCTGGTGGGTTGAAAATCAGCACTGGGCACATGTGCATGCATGCCCAAAATCCCAGAAAGCCTTATAAATTCAGTAATTCTAGTTAATCTGCCAAGATAATGTAATTATGTTTGATTTTGTAAGGTATGCAACAACGATCTCCTATTTTGGTGTCAGTTTTTCAATACGGTTTTGATTATGAGTTTTAAAAAAAAAAAAAAAAAAAGATTTCTTGTTCCCAAGCTGGCAGTCAGTGTGGTGGTTAGGGCAGTGAACTCCCACATGGCTGTCCATGGTTCGTGTCCCAGACCTGGCGACTTGCTTTCTCACTTTCCCTCTCTCTCTCTCTGGTCAAATTAAAAACATAATAATGATGAGTAAAATAATTCTTCTTAAAAAAAAAAAAAAAAAAAGATTTCTTGTTCTCCTCTCTGGCAACCATTGTTTCCTTATCTGTTAAGTCGAAATTATAAATACTACTTTTTCCCCCTTGGTGAGGCTAAGTAACTTTCCCAGAGGTACATACTGATAAGTGGGAGAGTCCACACTGCATCCTGTAGATCCTGCAGGACACAGCAAGGAAGGAATGAATAGGGTGAGGCTGTAAGTACAGTAGCAGAGAGGGCAGTGACAGCTTCATGACTGGAGTGACCCCCAACCCTCCTGCAGACACTCTGCTGCCCTTGCACAGTCCTAAGCTGTATATTCTTCCCAGTTAAATAGCATCTGTCCTGTCCAGTAAGGGTTCCCCAGGACCTTTCCTAGATGTCCTTCTTCATGGTTTGCTAACTTTGGCAGTCAGAAAATCCTTTGGTGCCTCTGATTTCCCCCAGTAGTCATGAAACGTTGGCTCTTTACTGTGTGTTTGCTTCCCCAAGGAAGTAGAACGCAACCTCCAGGATGCCATGCAAGTGTGCCGTAACGTTCTCCTGGACCCTCAGCTGGTGCCGGGGGGTGGTGCCTCTGAGATGGCTGTGGCCCACGCCTTGACAGAAAAATCTAAGGCCATGACTGGTGTGGAACAGTGGCCGTACCGGGCTGTTGCCCAAGCCCTCGAGGTCATCCCTCGTACCCTGATCCAGAACTGCGGGGCCAGCACCATCCGTCTTCTTACCTCCCTCCGGGTGAGTTCCTCCAGCGCTGCTGTCCTAATGGGGAAGGGAAAGCTATTTGGCCAAAGGGAATGTTTCACCTCTAACCAAGCTTTTAATGGTTTGTTCTCTTAAAATCATTGTCTCCTTTTAATCTTTGATTTTGTTGTTGTCATTGCCATTTTCCCATCCTTTTCATACCAATTCAATAGTTTTGGTTTTCTTTTTTACCTAATATTTCCTACCAACTTAATTCTTCCTAGTATTTTCATTTTTCATTATTTCTGCTTGTTCTAACTAGGCCAAGCACACCCAGGAGAACTGTGAGACCTGGGGAGTAAATGGAGAAACGGGCACTTTGGTGGACATGAAGGAACTGGGCATATGGGAGCCATTGGCTGTGAAGCTGCAGACATATAAGACAGCAGTGGAGGTGAGATACTCCAGGACGTTACATGCTGTTTATTTCCAGATGACCAGAAGCCCGTGCATTTGCCCTGATCTCAAAGAGAAGGGCTGTAGAAGGCAAATTATTCCCCAAGGATCTCCCAAGGAATCCCATCTCCCTACTTATCTTTAGTTCACACAGAAAGCATGGTTGGGGCCAGCCCTTGTGGTTAAGGCAGCCTGATCCCACATAGCCAACCACTTGGCTTGTAACTGGCTCTGGTTGGCCTAAAAACACATCACATGTGGGTACATGCATGCCCAAAATTCCAAAGGAAAGAGAGATGGAAGAGAATGAATTGCAGCCTGACCATGCCCCATGGAGGGTGCTGAAAGGTGTTTTCTCCCCTCCCTCCTCATGCACCCTCTAGCCCACAAAAGAAAAGGAAAAAGAAAGGGTAGGGAAACATCTCAAGCTACATCCTTACTTAGGGAGAACTGTATTTTGCATTCAAAGCTCCAGAAAGGTAGATTTCAGATAAAATGTTAATTCTGTGGGAGGAGTGAGGTGCTGTGCTCAAAAGAAAACAATGTCCTTCCCTCCCCTTCTGACCTCTTTGGGGCTGTGGTTTTCTCCTAGACGGCAGTGCTGCTGCTGCGGATTGATGACATCGTCTCAGGCCACAAAAAGAAGGGTGATGACCAGAGCCGGCAAGGTGGGGCCCCTGATGCGGGCCAGGAGTGAGTGGTGGGCTGGACGACTTCAGCTCACAGAAGCAGCAGTCTCCCCTTCCCTGGGCCAGAGTGCCAGGGACACTGGACGTCTTTGTTTGGAAGGGTTCAGGTTGAGGGGCAGCCCAGTCCCTTTCTGTCCCAGCTCAGTTTGCAAAAGACACTGACATGTAATTCTTCTCTATTGTAAGCTTTCCATTTAGTTTGCTTCCGATGATTAAATCTGAGTCATTTGAGATAGTTGTTATGTGTTTTTCAACCTCGGGTCCTATCTCTACCTCTTGACACAGAGGGAAGGGCAGAAAACCTTACCTGGGAGGAAGGGAGCCAGGAATGAGGTCATTAAGTCTGTTTGCTTTCCTGAAGGGGCGTTCTTCACATAGTTCAGAAGGTCTTGGTTGGGAAGACTCTCTTGGAGTTCAAAGAATGATACTATAGACTTTAAGAAGTGTATTTATATTCACCACCCAAAGAACAGGAGGAACCTGTCTTACCTGGGGTGTTCACCATGTCTGGTTCTTCCAGACAACACCCAGTACAGTCTAGGGCTCAGGCATTTGTCCTGAAGGACATAGGAGTCCTGTAGTCTTCCCTAGAATTCCTTCTCTGTGTTCTTCCTCATTGCTAGCTATACTTTCTATCTGTTGCTTTTTCTTGTGCCAACATTGTATCACAGTTGGATCTTTGCCTTTCCCAGTAGCAAAAGCAGAACATTTAAGTCATAGGTCGGATTTTGTTTTTATCAAGGGAAAGTATGTCTGAGCAGTGGCCTTGGTACACTACAGACTGGGCAAAGCTAGCCTTTGATTTCTTCAGTGTCCTCCTCGAGGTTACTGGGCCTTCCTCTGGCCTCCCTTTTGGCCTTGTGATAGTTTCAGAATCTAACAGGTAAAGTCAGTTTGTCCAAGGGTCACAAAGCTGGTAAGTGGCAGAATGTAAAGGCGGTCTGGCTTTAGAAGCCATGCTTTTGCGGCTGCCTCTCCTGGCTGAACTCAGTTGTGGGTGGAAAGGGGCTTGTGCAGTTGCCTCTGAAGACCCTTCTGCTCTGCTCATGCCAAAGCTTTAAGCTTCAGTCTAAAGCCCTCGGGTTTTTTTTTTTTTTTTTTTTTTTTTAAGAATTATTTTATTTTACGTTATTCATTATTATTATTATTTTCCATTTGATCAGAGAGAGACAGAGAGGAAATGAGAAAGCAAGCCACCAGATCCTAGACTTGAACCATGGTTGGCCATGCCGGGAGTCCAGCGCTTTTAACCACCATGCCACTTGCCGCCCCGTGCCCTCAGCTCTTTTTGAGGGGGAAGGCTGCTGGGTAGGCTCTTGGGTCATGTAGTGGTCTTCCCTGCTATCATTGGACCTCTATTTTTAATTTCCTGAGCACCTACAGTGTCTCTTGTGGAAGTCCTTTTGGTGTGTTAGATCAATTCAGACTCTTCAGTTTAGCTTTCAAAGCCTGTGTGGTTTTGTGTATGTGTGTTGTTTTGTTTTTTAAAGAATTATTTATTTAATTCCATTTGTTAGGTTTTTGTTTGTGGGTTTTTTTTTTTTTTTTTTCCATTTTACCAGAGAAAGGTTGAGAGAGAGAGAGAAAGGGAAAGGGAGAAAGCCACCAGGTCCAGGACTCAAACCTTAGCCAGCCATGTAGGAATCCAGTGCCTTTGACCACCATGTTACCTGCTGGGCCCAACGCCTGTTGTCTTTTTTTCTTTCTTTCTTTCTTTTTTTTTTTTTTTGGTAATTAATTAATTAATTTTGGAGAGGTTTTTGTTTGTTTGTTATAGGGGACTGCACTCGCCAGAAAGACAGACAGACAGAAAGTGAGAAATCACCCCCCAGGGGGGATGGCCACGCCACAATCCCTTCTCCTCTTGGGATCTTGGGCACGCACGCACACGGTGTAAGTTTAAGTCACTGGGTCCAAGCCTTGAACCCTGGTCGACTACATGGGAGCCCAGTGACATAGCCATTATGCTGACTGCTGGTCCCAAGCCTGTGTTTTCTAACATGTAAATTTAACATATGATCCAGGACAACTGTTTCTGCTCCCTGCGTGAACCCTGTTAGCTAAACTCTGATCCCTACACCAGCACTCTTGCCATCTCCTTAAGTTTTGATGATCGTTCCTGCCATCAAACTCTTCAATCGAATCCAGTTTTTTCCCCAATAAAACAGTATTTTTACGGGGGGTAGGAGAGACTTTAATTTCTGACTACTATTCAATCTTCTATATTCTGCCAAGACTCTTCTTACTCTTCTTCTTTTTCAAGTCCTAGATACTTTAGAGGACACATACGTTTTTTTCCCCTCAAGAAAAATGAGTTTTGGGGGCTGACACCTATCACACTGGTTAAAGGAGCCTATCCCAGGACCACAGATGGCATAATGGTTTCGTCGCTGGACTCCCACATAGTTGGCCATAGTTTGAGTCCCAGACCAGGAGGCTTAAACGGTGGGAGGGGGGCCTGCAGGTGGTGTGGTGGTTAAGGTTCTGGATTCCCACATGGTGGACCAGGGTTCAAGTCTCGTACCTGGCAGCTTGCTTTCTCCCTTTTCTGTCTCTCTGGTGAAGTTTTTTTAAAAAAACAACAGTAATAAATGAAATAAATAACTCATGCTGGATAGTGTTCGTGGATGTGCCCAAAATCCTGAGAGGAAAATGGGGAAGGGATTGCAGAGTGCCCATCTCCCCAGGGGCTGATTTCTCTTCCTGTCTCTGTCTTTCTAATGAGTACACATGACCAATAGCAAAAATATCTTTAAAAAAAAACCCAAAAAAAACCAAAAAATTTACATGGCTGACTGGTTCAAATCCCGGTCTCAGTAACATGCCAGGTGCCTGTGTGTACATGGCCCAAGCCCTAATAGGGTGGAAAAATGAAGACGGGATGGTGGCGTGACTGCCTGATTGGAGGTGCTTTCACCCCACCCCACCCCCATCTCTGGCAGTTGAGGGAAAAAATGAGTTTTTAAGGAAACTTTGAAAGTTAATCCTATAGTCATTTGGAATAAAACAAATGGATCCCTACTTTATTGCAGCAAGATTTATCATAAGCAGCTGAAAGATTTAAATAGAATAAAACCACAACAGCATTAGATGAAAACGTGAGATTTAAAATTTAGGTTTTAGGGGGCCAGCAGGTGGCGTGGTGGTTAAAGGCACAGGATTCCTGCATGGCCGACTACAGTTTCTGAACCTGGCAACTTGCTTTCTCACTTTCTCTCTCTGATCAAATTGAAATAAACAAATGAATAAATAAAAATTAATTCTTAGAAAAAAAGTATTTAGGTTTTAGAGTTAGCGCTGTGGCTCAGTGTTAACGTACCAGTCAGGATAAGTGGATCCCACATGGTGACTGGTTCTAACCCGTAGCTGCCGTAGCCTATAGGTCACCAAGTAAGCACAGAGGTGCCCAACGTCCAGTGGGCCGGGGTGGCAGTATGACCAAGCCCCGTGGAGGTTGCTTCTCTTGGGTGCCACATGTTTGTGCTCCATCATGAATAAAGAGAAAAAAGTTAGGCTTTAGAACTTGGCAGCGGGAGAGGCCAGCAGGTGGCATGGGCTCTGTCAGGAGGTGCTGGACTCGCATGACTGACCACGGTTTGAGTCCCATACCTGGTGGTGTACTCTCCCTATCTGTCTGGTCAGATTGAAGAATAATAATAAATACATAAAGTTAAATAAGTTTTTTAAAAAAAGAACTTGGCAATGGGGCCAGCAGGTGGCATGGAGGTTAGGGCACCGGTGGACTGCTGTTTGAGTCCTGGACCTAGTGGCTTGAAAATCAAACCATATATATGTGCATGTGCTCAAAATTCTGAGAGAAGGGATTGCGGCAGGGCCATCTCCCCGGGGCGGGGCGGGGCGGGGGGAGGTGAGTTCTCACTTTCCCCCTCTGTATCTGTCTCCTTTCCAGCAGGTACATATGCACTGTGACAAACCTAAAAAAATCAAACAAAAAAACTCAGCAGTTAAGAAAGGCCTATTAAAAAAGCAGGGGAGGGGCTCGGAGGCAGGTGACATGGTGGTGGTTAACGGTGCTAGACTCCCATATGGCCAACTGTAGTTTGAGTCCCAGACCTGGCATCTTGCTTTCTCTCCCCCCTACTCCCAACTCTGTCCTCCTTTGGTCAAATTTAAATTTAAAAAAAAAAGAAAAGAAAAGAAAAGAAACGAGAAACAGGCAAAAGGTATAAACACCTCCAGAGAAAACAAAAATTAACAACTAAAACACGAAGTTGCTTAACTACTAATAGGGAAATAGCGCAGTTTAGTAAACTCTTGCAGGGGAAGGGACTTACGTGATAAGAATGTCATTCGGTCAGTGTCATCTAAGGGCCAGTTAGACTTGGCAGGTCCTCTCCTGGGTATTTATCCTGCAGAATTGTTCACAGTACACTCAATATACATTCTGAAAAACGTGTCAGTGGGTATTTTCGTTACATGAACACAGAGTACTTAAAAATAGTAAGTGGTGTACACTCTACCATCAAGTACTCTGTGGCACATGGCAGCATCAAGTGCTGTACTGACAGGCATATTCCTGCTAGCATGGTTTGCCATAGCAGAGAATCGGCATTACTTTATCAACAGTGTTCTGGTTCAATGTCGGGACAGTCCGCTGCAAGGAGCACAAGACAGTATAAAAGTGAAAAGGAGGGGGCCAGCAGCTTGTGCTGGACTCACATGACCAACCACAGTGGAGTCCCAGACCTGGCAGCCTGAGAGTCACGCCAGACATAGGTGCTTTCATGCCCAGAAATCCTACGAGGAGATGTGGCCAGCCCCCCTGGAGGGTGACTTCTCATTTTCTGTTTGGCAAGTGCACAAAACTAGAGCAGAAAAAAAGACAAGTGAGAAGAGACTGGATGCTGAGATGCATTGTAGGGTGTTCCGTATTCCTGAGTGGGTACGTAGAGTCTTTTGAGAAGGATATGTAAGAAGCGTAATGGTGGTTATCTCACGGTAGATTCCAACTTGAGAAATGAGGTGAAAACCTGGCACATTTCGAATTTTATACGCATTAGTCCAAATTATTGGGGGGGTGGCGGTTTGCTATATCCCACGTGTGCTCGCCAGAAAGACAGAAAGCGAGAAATCACCCCCCAGGAGGGATGGCTACACCGCAATTCCTTCTCCTCCACTCTCTCGGGATCTTGGACACGCACACACACGTGCCCAGCGGGAGTTTAAGCCACCAGATCCAGGACTCGAACCGGGGTAGACTACATGGGAGTTCAGCCACATAGCCATTACACCAACTGCTGGTCACAGTCCACATGATTTAAGCAAAAACAACCAAGTGCATTAAGCCAAACATGACCTCCCTCTTTTGACAAATAGCATGTATTACTCTCATATCCTATTTTTTGCGGTGCCTCTTCCCCACGAGATTGTGAACTCCTCCAAGATAAGAACCTGTTTGCCTGAGGTGTTCAGAAAATACTAAGTCGACCAAAAGAACCCACTAGGCTGCTCTGAGTTCAGATTCCTTCAAATTCCTCTCTGGACTTTCTACCCCAGTTGTTTTGGGATCCCACCTGGACCTGGAATCCAGACGTCATGCCCACTAAGATAACTCCTTAGTGGGACTGGCTGAGTGTGCCGGCACATCTGGGCTGGGATGTCACTTGCCAGCCCAGGTTGGGATGACATGGTGTTCCAACTCAGAACGATGGGGTAAGAGAGGCTATTTCTTTAAGGACTGGTGTGGCCCTGCCCTTAAAGGGATCAGCTGACTCTAGTCACGTGACTGCCCCAGTGTCTTCCGCCGGCTGAAGTTGGAGCTGCATGTGTGTCTGTGGGGAGCACGACTGGGGCTGGGGGCGCTGTGCCCCCAGCCTCGTGCTCCTCTTGAGTCTACTGTCTGCAGCCCCATTTGGCCTGCGGGGGGAGGAGACCCGGCAGGTGAGGGGTACAGCAGAGTTCTCAGGAAATGCCCCTACACCGCAATTCCTTCTCCTCCACTCTCTCGGGATCTTGGACACGCACACACACGTGCCCAGCGGGAGTTTAAGCCACCAGATCCAGGACTCGAACCGGGGTAGACTACATGGGAGTTCAGCCACATAGCCATTACACCAACTGCTGGTCACAGTCCACATGATTTAAGCAAAAACAACCAAGTGCATTAAGCCAAACATGACCTCCCTCTTTTGACAAATAGCATGTATTACTCTCATATCCTATTTTTTGCGGTGCCTCTTCCCCACGAGATTGTGAACTCCTCCAAGATAAGAACCTGTTTGCCTGAGGTGTTCAGAAAATACTAAGTCGACCAAAAGAACCCACTAGGCTGCTCTGAGTTCAGATTCCTTCAAATTCCTCTCTGGACTTTCTACCCCAGTTGTTTTGGGATCCCACCTGGACCTGGAATCCAGACGTCATGCCCACTAAGATAACTCCTTAGTGGGACTGGCTGAGTGTGCCGGCACATCTGGGCTGGGATGTCACTTGCCAGCCCAGGTTGGGATGACATGGTGTTCCAACTCAGAACGATGGGGTAAGAGAGGCTATTTCTTTAAGGACTGGTGTGGCCCTGCCCTTAAAGGGATCAGCTGACTCTAGTCACGTGACTGCCCCAGTGTCTTCCGCCGGCTGAAGTTGGAGCTGCATGTGTGTCTGTGGGGAGCACGACTGGGGCTGGGGGCGCTGTGCCCCCAGCCTCGTGCTCCTCTTGAGTCTACTGTCTGCAGCCCCATTTGGCCTGCGGGGGGAGGAGACCCGGCAGGTGAGGGGTACAGCAGAGTTCTCAGGAAATGCCCCCGCTGCAGGGTGGCTGGGATGGAGCGAGGAGTCTGGGTGGAGGGTGGCTGCATGAAGGGTTCTTCCACCGGGAGGTGTCGGGGGCGAGTGAGCTTCTGGAGTAGATCCGATGTGGGAGCTTCTGGTAAAGCCTGCCTGGCCCCTCATTCAGCCTTGGGTGACCCAGGTCCAGGCAAGTGTTGGCATTTTTCCTTCTTTCCAGCCCTGTGTCCTGACCTCACCAGGATCAGGGCAGCCCTGGCCCTACGCCACCCTTTCGTCAGCCCTCGTCAGCCTCCCTCCACCCTGTCACCCAGAATTCGCTTAGCGCCCACACACATTCCTCTCACCTAGGCCTCCAAGAGGTCCCACCTTTTCCCAAGCACCACCCCCTTCAGCCTGGAGCTTCTCCTTTGCCTGCGTCTCCTCGATCCTGTTCCCTCAGCCCTCCCCTACTCCGCGTTCCAGGTGTCTCTGGAGGTCATCCCTGGCCAGCTGGGGACCTCCCAGAATCTGCTTCACGTCCGAGCGGTGGGCACCAACTCCACGCTGCACTATGTGTGGAGCAGCCTGGGGCCTCCCGCCGTGGTGCTGGTGGCCACCAACACCTCCCACAGCACGCTGGGCGTCAACTGGAGCCTCCTGCTCTCCCCTGAGCCTGACGGGGGCCTGACAGTGCTCCCCAAGGACAGCGTCCAGTTCTCTTCCACCCTTGTCTTTACCAGGGTAAGGAGGTCGGGGAATGAAGAGGAAGGGCACAGGGTAGAGTTCATCCCAGGTCGGGGGGGCACAGAAGATGAGAGATGAAGTAGATTCAGATTTGGGAGTCAGGGTGACAAACAGCTCAACTGAGGAAAGAGGCAAGCCGAGTTCCCACCAACCCCCACCCTGCAGCTGCTTGAGTTTGACAGCACCAACGTGTCGGATGGCGCAGCAGCGCCGCCGGGAAAGACGTACCCCCCATACTCCTTGGCCGAATTCTCCTGGAACAACATCTCTGACTCGCTGGATCCTGCCACCCTGAGTGCCACATTCCAAGGCCGCCCCAAGGCCGACCCTACTGGGGCCTTCACCAATGGCAGCATCGCCTTCAGGGTAAGGGGTAGGATAAAATGGAGCTCATGTGCCTCCTGAGGGTGGGGATTCATGATCAGCGGATGTGGCCCACAGGTGTCGTCTGCTTCCCACACTTCCCATGCCACCTCCCTCCTAGGTGCAGGCCTTCTCCAGATCCGGCCGACCCGCGCAGCCCCCTCGGCTCCTGCACACTGCAGACACCTGCCAGCTAGAGGTGGCCCTGGTGGGGGCCTCTCCCCGGGGAAACCGTTCCCTGTTTGGGCTGGAGGTGGCCACCCTGGGCCAAGGCCCTGACTGCCCCTCTGTTCAGAAGCAGCACACCATCGATGATGAATATGCACCTGCTGTCTTTCAGGTCAGGCTTCCAGGGGAGAGGCAGAGGGATGTAGGGGAACCTAGGTGTGTTCCCGTTAGGATCGTGGACAGCCACGCTCTGCAGCTCCTTCAGGCGCCGGGCACTGTGCTAACGAATCTGAGCTTGTCTCTGCCCTCAGCAGGGACAGATGAGGCAGGGCAATGTGACCTGGGATCTGCAGGGCCTGGGGGCCCAGGCAGGGAGCTGCCTGCAGATTTGCAAGGCTGCAAAAAGACTCCACTCACCCAGCCCAGCTCCCCTTTCTGCAGAGGTGTGATTGAGGCCCAGTGCACACAGCCTGTCGGTTCTAGAACCAGGCCTCACATTCTCACTTCCTGCTGCCCGTACTGCTGTCACTGCCATGGCAGATGGAAGCTGGGCGAGGTGAGTAAGAGAGGGGCTGGGCACAGGCTGGTCATCGTCACCCTTTCTGTGCCTTTCTCCCCAGGTGGACCAGCTGCTGTGGGGCTCCTTCTTGGGCTTCGTGCAGTGGCGACCAGTGGCTTTCTCCCAGCAGCAGAAAGGCCGAGAATCAGCTCTATCCTGCCAAGCTTCTCACCTTCACCACACTTCGGAATACTTTCTCCCCCAGTCCCCCATTGTGCGGGCTTTCTTTGGGTCTCAGAACAACTTTTGTGCCTTCAATCTGACATTCGGGGCCTCCACGGGACCTGGTTACTGGGACCAACACTACCTCAGCTGGTGAGAGCCCAGGCCTGGTGGAGGGCTGGGGTGGGAGCGGAGGTGAGCTCCTGGCCTTCCCTCCTAAAGCCTGCTTGCCTCGCTCTGTCTCCCTCCCTCCCTCCTCGTTCCAGGTCGATGCTCCTGGGGATGGGCCTCCCTCCAGTGGACACCTTGTCTCCTCTAGTCCTGGGCATCATGGCGGTGGCCCTGGGTGCTCCAGGGCTCATGCTGCTTGGGGGAGGCCTGGTCCTGCTACTGCGCCACAGACGGCACTCAGAGTACCAGTCCATAAACTGAGGCCCACCCTCAGGGGAAGGACATTGCTGGGCATGCCTTCCTAGGCCTCAACCCCCTGGAGATTGGGGGATCAGTGTTCTGCCTGCCCCTCACCTCTCCCATTTTGCTTTTCTGCGGAACCTCAGAAACTAGCCTCAACTTCCTGGGGGCCCCCAGGTGGGGTTTCCTTCTTACCTTGGGGAGGGTCAGGGCCAGGGTTATCACTAAAGGGAAGGTCCCCTTGCTGTTGCCAGTCTGCATCTCCATCCCCCATTCCCTGGGACGCGATGCACCGGCCCAGATGAGGGGCCTTCTGACAGGTTGGCGGCCCTCAGGGGCATGAAATAGACTTATTTTTTCCACAGAGCCCTGGTCTCTGAATGTGTGTCACTTGGCTGGTTTGGGGCTGGTTCCAGGAACTGAAGGGCAAAGAGGGTTTCTGTCTGAAGCCCCATTTGTTCACTAGACCTAGTTCTTGCCCTCGTCATGGAGCCGAAACTCCGGCCCACACCCTGCAATCTGTGGCACAGGGAGGCTTCTGGGGCAGTCTGCACTGGACAGGCAGGGACACTGGAGACTGGGGGCCGGCAGGAGCCAGCGAAGACTGCTGCCATGATTTATTGTACATGTACACGCACACGCTTGCACTCACACTGGGCTAACAGCCACTCCCAGCCACCACTTGTGTGGGTACACACCCCACCTCTTAGGAAGCAGAATTCCCAGTTTTCTCCTCTCTTCCCATGGGAGAGCGTAACTTCTGGGTAGGTAAGAGGAGGGATGTTACAGGGGCCTAGATAGGTAGGAAGGGAGGAGGCAGCAGCTCTGGACTGGGGCAACTGCGATCTTACCTGAGGCTAAAGAGCCCTTCTCCCAGAGGCCCTCAGTGTAGACAGCTTGCATAGACATGGTCACAGGAAACTGGGAAGTGGGGCAGGGTTCGGCATTAGTGAGCCCCAGAGGCAAGGGTGGGGGCTGCTCAGGAAGGAACCATGCCTCTCTGCCTGCTTCTGACCCTGTGCGCTCAGCATCCTTAAGGGACATAGTGGTCCACCTCTTTCCTTGCAAGAAAACTTAGTCCTTCTTTATGATAGTCACCCGCTCAAAAGGTGAAGCGCAACACCGGCTAGGAATGGGTCCAGGCTCTGACTGCACCGGACCCAAGTCAAGGCAGTAGCGGAGTTTCTCCCACCAAGGTTTCAGGACTCCAGGAAGAAAAGTCCAGGCCCCGTCTGGCGGAGGGAAGGGCACTGAGCCACCCGCGCCAGCCCAGGGGACTAGAGGACGGAGCAGCTCAGCCCCAGGGGCGGGGCCTATGGTCGGAGGCCGAGCGGGCGTGGTCCGGGTAGTCCAGGCGGCTCTCGGAGGCAGTGAGCATGCGCTCGGGCTCCACCGCGAACATGTAGTAGAGGTTCCACACCAGCATGGACAGCAGCGGCAGGAACGTCAGGCCGTAGCCGAAGCCTCGGAAGGAGCGGCCCACCGCAAAGGTCAGCCAGTATATCAGCCTGCAGGGACGAGAAGAGCATCGTGCCATTGTTGAGGGCAGCGCATGAGCTACTGGCAGTAGTTAGGGAGGCAGATGGGAGTAGGAGGGTACAGCTGGTACTTGGAAAACAGTCCAAATATGTACATTTACTGTGTGCTGACCACGGGGTTAATAACTGTAAGTGTACTGTTTAATTTTGGCCTCTCTACATCTGTGGAGTGAGTATATTATCCCCTCTTTCTTCTACTTTGGAAATTTTAATTCCGGGGACCAGCAGATAGGGTAATGGCTAGGTCGTTGGACTCCCATTTAGTCGACTGCAGTTCGAGTCCCGGACCCGGTGGCTTAAACTCACACTGGGCACATGTGTGTACGTGCCTAAGATCCCAAGAGGAGAATGGAGGAGAAGGGATTGTGGGGTGGCCATCCCCCCCCAAGGGGGATGATTTCCTGCTTTGTCTCTTTCTGGCGAGCACACGCGTCCTATAGCCAAAAATACTCTCCCCCCCCCAAAAAAAAAGAAAATAAATTTTAATTCCTTTTTTAAAAAAAAAAATTTAACTTTATTTATCTATTTATTAAATTTGACTAGAGAGGGACAGATGGCCGGGGGCGGGGAGGTGAGAAAGCAAGCTGCCAGGTCCTGGACTCGAACCTCAGTCAGCTCCGTGGGAGTCCAGTGCCCTTAACCACCACATCATGGACTGGCCCTTTTTTAAAATGGATTCTAACTGTAGGGTACGTGTGCCCGACAGAGAGAGAGAGACAGAAATAGAAATCACCCCTAACTCCCCACAATGGCCACACAACAATCCCTTCTCCTCCACTCTCCTCCCAGGATTTTGGGTATGCATGCACACACACTGGGTGTGAGTTTAAGCCACCAGGTCTGGGACTCGAACCATGGATGACTGCATGGGAGTCCAGTGACGTGACCATTACACCATCTGCTGGTCCCTCAAAGAGCTACTTGGGGCCAGCAGGTGGTGTAGTGGTTAGTGGCGCTGGACTCCCACGTGGCCGACCATGGTTCGAGTCCCAGACCTGGCGGCTTGCTTTCTCACTTTCCCTCTCTCACTCTGTCCCTCTTTGGTCAAATTAAAAATAAATAAATATAAAATAAAGTTCAATAAAATAATTTTTTAAAAAAGCTAATTTTTACTCTATGCTACCATCTAGCCCTCAAATTTGAATTAGTTTTGAGTGTGTATGTATATATTCACACTGTTCAAAATTCAGTGACTATAATACAATAAAGTCTCTGATTCTATTAACCTACTCTCCTCTTCCCCCACCCAAGGCATCCGTTATGATGATTTCTTATACACTGAGTGATTTTTTTGTCTTTGTTTTTTTTGAGAGTGTTTTTTTTTATTTTATTTTTTTGCTATAGGGCTTGTGCACTCACCAGAAAGACAGAGACAGAGAGAC